TCTAATGCTTGGCAAAATAAGTCAATATAACGGACCCTCAACCAACAATTTCCTCTAGGATATGGGCTGAAACTTGTCTTTTTGTCCATACTGTTAATTTATGGTCTTTACGGCATTACTGCATAAGCCTCAGCCAACAACAAAGCTGCAGCGTCGTGCTAAACATGAAATAAGCAATGTTGAGCTAGGTCTAGGGTTATTATTAATAGTAATCTGGTAAAACCACGGGTTTAATGTTATTCGTTTCTTCGGTCCAGACTTTTCCCTGCTCCCGCATATCATGAAATAGACGAATAGAGTCGCCCGAAGATCATAAAAATCAGAATAGCGGACAGGTAAAAGTACATTGTAAGCTTTTTGGTCCGGTATCTAATAGCTAATAGCTCTCCTCTGGTGCCAATATGTCTATCGTGGACGTAATTTTGCGATCTCAACGGCGGAACTCGTCCGCTTAGTAGCCAAAATTTTTCCCGACAAACCCTGAACAATCGTTTGCCAACATTGGTGGATAAACTGCCCTGCCTCTGTTCGCGAGTTACATGATAACTCCGTGTAGCGTTCCAGGAACCCTAGACCAGTACCAAGATTCTGCCATTTCTAGAAATTGCGCAGATCACTTGAGTCATGTGGTGGTGGAAAGCAAACAAGAGAGGAAAATCGCTGACGTATCAATCGGTTATGCCCTCTCACTCCTCCCCTCACATCTTTGAATATGCAATGTAGACCATATTGGGTGTAAGTTTGCCGCGAATTACATCTGGCATTTGCGTATAGACGCGGAAGGTGGCTAATGATCAAGCTGCACGATGATTTGCCTGCTAGAACATGGTCGCAGGTGTCCTCGATAAGTGACAGGTGAAGGAGTATCGCAGTATGATAACGGCTCCAGCGAACCGTATAACTGCGCTCTCTTCTCCCCTACCCCAAGGAGATAGAGGTAGATAGGGTTAGCCAACAGACTATGATGGCCGCAATTATCAAAGGCCATAGTCTGTTGGTGCAGCGGTCCTAACGTCGACCTCACGTTCTTTGCTACTGTTAAACCGCTGTTTTACTAGATTGAACTTGACTGGAACATAGTTTCACTCTTACAAGTATGGACGGATAATCACTCTAGGTGATGACAAGTATACCGTAGTTTGTGAGCATTTAGCCGTTTCTCGGATAGTTTGTTTGTGTAGTTTGAAACTGACATGTTATTGTTTAAGGATTGGCTCCAAATGA